GCTGCTGTCAGGGCAGTGGTCAGAGAATGCAAGGAGTGTCAGTCCATCGACCCAGCACCTGTGCAATGGCAAAAAGGACAAGTGAGTGTGAGCAAGGTGTGGCACCGTGTTGGAATGGACATCACCCATTATAACGGACATCACTATTTAACCCTGATTAACTGTGGCCCAACCCGGTTCACTATTTGGCGGCGTCTGCGTCGACAGGATTCCGCAAGCGTCATTGACCACTTGGGGTCATTGTTCTTTGAATGTGGACCTCCGACGGAACTCTTCACTGACAACGACACTGCATTCCGCAGTGGACTATTCAAAGATTTTGTGGATTCGTTGGGAGTACACCTCAGATTTCGCTGCGCGGATGTCCCATCAAGGAATGGCATAATCGAGCGATGTCATCGGAGCACCAAAAGAATCGCTGCTAGGAAGCAGTGTTCCATAATGGAGGCGGTGTATTGGTACAATGTTACTCCGAGAGACAATAATGTATCGCCCTCAACTGCGCCAGCCAACATGATTTATCAATAGAAAGTCCGGCTACGAAGCATTGACGCGACGCATTCAACTGAACGGATAAAAGAACGTGCGCCGTATGACTTGGGCGATCGCGTGTGGGTAAAAGCTTCACATAGCCGGTGTACAACTTGGTACCGGGTGGGGCATGTCACTGGACTAAGTAACTCGTGCTCTGTGCTGGTTGATGGCATACCAAGACACATAAATGACTTGCGTCGCTATGTAGGTACAGACACTTCAACAAGTGACACTAGCAGTGAGTGCTCAGAAAGTGAACAAATAATTACCATCGGAGGAAGGGCTAGCACCCCTTCAGATGGTGAAGACTCTGTGCGTGAGGTTGTCAGACCAGAAGAATCCTCAGAAGAAGAATCTTCAGAACATTTTTCAGATGATGAAGACTCTGCGCATGAGGTTGTCAGATCAGAAGAATCCCCAGAACATAACACACAGTCTCCTCCAACAGTCGCCCCGCTCCGGAGAAGCTTAAGAATAAAGAGGCCCGCCCATGAGTGTCACTTATGTGACAGTGGGGAGTGTAGTGAAAGAGATAATCAGGTACCCCGAAAAAAAATTCGTGTTTTTGTGCGATCTGCCGAAGAAAAATTACCAAAAAGTAGTCAGCAAAAATCTACATCAATGACTAGAAGCTATGCTAATGTTCTTCCCTCCCCTGAATGGCGTGACCAATCAGAAAATTCTCTCGGTGAACAGAAGTTGTTGTTTTTTGCTTATAAAAGGAAATTATTTTTTTGAGCTTGGGGAGAACGAACACGCGTTGTTGTTGGTGAGAAGTGAAGATTGGATGTGTGACCCCCATTTTGTCATTTCTACATTGTGTGTTGGACTGTTACGTCGGACTATCGTTTGAACTGCGATTTGATTACAAGTGTTGCGGCCGAGAAACAGAAGAAATCTATTGCAGTTGCTACAATCAGTTGACAGTCTTTTCTTTACTACATCAATATATATATATATATATATATATATATATATATATATATATTTTTTAAAAAAATGATTCCATATGATATGTTTAAACGTTCGGTTAGCAAGGTCGAAGTAAATACTGTTTATTCGATCTTGCTAACCAAACGCGCCTCTGTGGCCAAATCGGTTAAAGGCACGTCAGGCTATACGACGGTTCCGTATAGGATACAGGTTCGAATCCTGTCGCAGGACGAATATTTTCTGTGAAAATTTCTCGGACATTCAGGCCGGTAAATGTTGTTTAATACTGTTTATTATAAACAGAGCATTTTCTTAAATATTTGTATCTATAAAAAGAATTTTAAACATAAAAATGTCTTAAAATAATTGTCGAACTTTGTCCATTTCATAATGTGTGACGTCATTTGTTTACATTTGATAAGCTGTGAGCAGATATGAATGTACGTGAGAGATCCATAGAAGATTGAAGTTCAAATACAGTAAAAATGTCTTAAAATATATAGGGATGTTTTATTTTTAAACAAGCAGATGACCAAAAAGAATTCTTAAATTTAGGGCCAAACTGTCCTTTTCAAACTGAACTTCTCACAAAGAAAACTGAAATTGAAATTCTGCATTAATCGCTATCCCAACTTGAGGCCCGTGGAGACATAGCATTTCACTCACACGTGAAAGACCCCCTTAAAGCAGGGGGTTTAAAAGACCGCTCTTCTCGCAATAACTATAATATCCTAACAAGAAAACTAAAAAATTCTGCAAAAGAACTAAAATCAATTCCAATATTGTCATCAGACGAGCCGACAAAGCTAAAAAAAAATGTCATTTTGGATAAAAACCGATTACCGTAAAAAATTACAAAATATCATTGATGATCGATCTAAATTCACCAAGTTGAACAGAAACCCCAAGGAGACCCTAAAAAGATCCACCAACAAATTGATAACATCAAATAACGCCGACGTTGGTTCCCTGATTATCAAAAAGATCATCGGAGATTACTAACCAGGATACTTCTACGGAAATATAGAAATGCACAAAACCGGATACCCGTTACAACCAATTATTTCCCAGATCCCAACCCCTATCTACGGGCTATCAAAATGCTTTAATGACATCAATACCCCATATCTACCCACCAATTACAGTATCACATCAACCCACGAATTCCTTCAAATTCTAAAATGTATAAAACCAACCCAATGTATTTTAGCGTCACTCGCCGTTGAAAATTTATTCACAAATGTACCCGTTAATCAAACTATTGACATTATCCTTAACTCTGGGTACACAAATAATTCCATTCCATCTCCATCCATTAAACCAAATATCCTCAAAAAATTATTACATACATGCACGAGCAAAGTTCACTTCTACAACCATAATGGCAAAATCTAGACCCAAACTAATGATGTTATTATGGGAAATCCGTTTGGCCTATGCTTTTCCAATTACTATATGTCTCATGTAAAAAAACATGATATTTAAACAGGTCACTAAACCTAAAATATATGTCCACTATGTAGACGATATTTCTATTTTAGCGAAAAACAAACAAGAGATAATCTCAAAACCACATTTGAAAAAAAATTTGTCCTTAATTTTACTTATGAACTGAGTCAAAAGAATAAACTCCCATTCTTAGATGTCCTCGTAAAATACAGTAACAACACTTTCACCACTTCATTATATAAAAAAAAACACCAGCAGAAACTCTCGTTACCTTAATTTTAAGAGTGAATGCCCACTTAGATATAAAATAACAGTTATAAAAAATTTCCTAAAGAGAGCACTCGAGAATTCACCCACTCTTCTACTTTTCCTTAAAGAACGCAACAATGCAAAACAGACACTAGTTAACAATGGTTTTCCTAATTACCTCATCGACCACAAGATTAAACTATTTTTTTTTCCAAAGTAACTAATAGCTATACTGGACACACAGACAAAAACAATGACATTAACATCTCCTACAAAAGCCAAATACACTTCAACTATAAGCAAGTTGAATCTTCACTTAGAAATATCATGAAGAAATACACAACCTCAAAATTGTTTACCAGCTCAAAAGCCCCTTAATGAACTATGTTCCTGATCAAACTAAACTAATAAATAATTACATCGGTCACACTACTACATGCTTAAGCAGACGACTTACGTTACACCTATCTGACCACAGCTCCATTAGAACCCATTTAAACAAAACAAAAAAACTACCAAAATCCATCCGAAACCTACTAGTAGAAAATACAAACATAATAACCTCATCCTCGTGTAAAAAAAGATTAAAAATAATGGAAGCCTTAATAATGAATATGAAAGATCAAACTCTCAATAACATTAAATATGAACAAGGTTAGAAGGTGCTGACCGTGTTAGTAAAAAAAAACATAGCTATAACTCTAGATACATAACACAAGTCCTACATTCGGTTAAAAGTAAAAATAAAATCATGTTTAATAAAATGGCTAAAAGAACAGCCGAAAGCAGAACTTTGGGAAAGTTTTAATACACTTTGTGTCCAAAAAAGAAAACACTTCTACGAACACAAGAAAAATTAAATTAAAATCTTATCTGCAGTACCTTGTCAGCCGTTTTAACTAAACACAAACACACACACACACACACACATACACACACACACACACACATATATATATATATATATATATATATATATATATATATATATATATATATATAATGTAGTATATATGTTGAATGATTGATTTATTTTTCACGGTTTATCAACATTTTGCATATTTATTTAAAGCCAGAAAATATTTAGACTAAGAATTTTGGAGATGACAGTGATGTATGTATGTATGTATAATATATACATATATATATATATATATATATATATATATATATATATATATATATAATCAAATATGTGGTGCAATTCAATTTATATTACAATGAATCATTCATACAGAAAGAAAATTAGTAAAGTTAATGATATAAAATGGCGAAATCCCTTCGCTAACAAAATTTTAAAGATGCATTAACCTACCAATCACTCGATGAATGTTATGATCCTTGTTTTTTAAAATTATAAACTGTATGAGGTCTTTCTTAAATACGCAAGTACTTTCGACTGTACATTCAGTCATCTTCAGGCATGGAAATTATTTTGTTTTTGGTAAAATTCAGGTAGCATCCGAGACGAAACAATGTGTTACTGATAACGGATACAAACTTTTCGAGCGTGCAGTCGTAACGCTAAGATTGAACTTTTTTTTTTAAATTTAAGAGAGTGCGTTTTTTACTAATATGGCAATTTGATACTACCTGAATTTTACTTATTTTGATACCAGCACTAAAGAACAGTCATTGATCTCTCCTCGTGTGAAAAGGCGACACTTGCATTTACCAGCAGCTTTAGATTAACTACCGCATTTAGAATTTGAACCGTCTTCAGCGAGACCATTTGTCATGCTGTTAACCGTCAGGCCGACTATACCCCACTAGTCAAAACGTACCCTGCCCCCTTTTAAGCATAACTAAACCCATTTTCATAGCCACCTCACTCAATGTCTCTCTCTCTCCAGCCGACATACGTCCCGCATCAACCACCCACGGTTACTAGTCCATCCTTTTGCAAGCATTCAGGCTTTAACAGTTCAGCTCCAGAGTTGGATTTCATTCTCCTGCAATCAACATCTGTTATTTCAGCTTTTACGCTATTAAACCAACTGAAGCGAAAACGCAGTCAAGACAACTCGCTTATTAATTAGGCTTTTCAAGAGAAATTTTGCCGCTCTGAAAATGTCAGCTTGTTGGAGAAATATTTTTGCTTAAAGCAAAATCTTTTTAATGCGATCAAAAATGTTGAATTCAGTTGACTTTAAGTGATTAATAAAAAAAACTATTCGCTTCATTTATAATCAAGAAAAGTGCTTTAATGTTTTGCTAATATTCCGACTCCCTTTCTATCATGACGTGTATTTTTGCAATCAACTTACAAGTACCGCATTCTTCTAAAATACGAATTACGCTTTGCTTCTAATTTTTTTAAATCGTCCTGTTTTTTTTGTTTTAGTTTAATAATTATTTACTAGTATTTTATTTTAGTTGTTTTTACTTTTTAGAAAATGATAATATAACGGTGGTTAACAACTACAAGTGGTTAGGCTTTAAAAGTTTTTTTTCAAATAGACAATTTAGCAAATCAATGGCCAATGAAATTCAATTGATTTCAGAATCAATCTCGTTCGATAGCAATGCAACAATAAAACATAAAGTTGATTTTTTTTCACTTTTTTAATATAATCAACATTGTACTCTGTTTAAAAGCTGGGGTTTGATGTGATAAGTACTGACACGAAAATTTAGATTCATAGCTTTTACCAATTCTTGAGCATTTAGTTTTAAATATCGTATGAAAAGATGTACCGAAATATCTAATTTCTGCGGGTTTTTGCTTACAAACTGACTTTACAATGTTTTTACTATTTCAAGAATAAATCCAAATAAATATAATATCTTTTGTATTAGATCCATTGAATGGAAAATATATTCAAATCAAAATTCTAATTATGAATCACCTCAAGCAAAATATGCAATTTTTTTTACTGTATTTCATAAGTAAAAACTGTGTAAAAACATTGTAAAAGATTACAAAAAACGCTCGTCAATGAATAAGATTTGTTAGATCATTTGTTCGATTATAATTAATAAAAACAGAAATTACATAAATATATATATAACTCCGTAATGCTGCTGGGCACACATTATAGACAAAATGTTTTAAATTTGCATTGTTTATTGAAAATCACACAAAAACTATACTACTGTATAATATTATAATATAGCTAAATTGTTCAATATAATTTCATTTTGAAGCAAATAAAGGTTTTATTTGATAGCACAATGAATTAGAAATAATGTGCTTGTTTCTTGCATCTTGTCCATATACAGTTTGTAAAGCTTCAGTAAATTAGAAATTTTATAAGGCTGTGGTGCTATAAGGCTTTTCACTGATCACCGGAATGAAATTGCAACGCGACGATTTTGAACCTAAATTTAATCTTTATACTCGTTTCCTCAAAAAACAGTAACTATTTGGAAAAAAAATATTTTGTGTTGTTATTTATCATGTCAAACCCCAACTTTCAAATTGCGTGCAATACCACGGTCCCAAAACTGACCTTCTCTAAAGCAGCAAGGCAAATGATAATGTCGTGAAGTCGATTTTCTTTCAAAACTGTTTTAATAAAAAGATTTTGATATATTTCTACTCACCAAGGTCTTTATGTTAATGTTGCCTGTATGAGAAGCGAATGGTTTTGTAATTTTTATAACAGTTTTAGGAAAGAGGATAGTGGAAATGGTCACTGAATGGGCTTCGCGTTTGGTCAACTCTTGGACAACACCGTAAAATGCTGCCAAATGAAAACATCTTAAACGAATCATGTTTTTCAATCGGCTCATCAGATTGAAATTCCCCGTGCGCATAGCGCCCCCATCCCCAAATCGTAGAGAAATCTCGAAAGAGTCAGATGGAATACAAACGTTTGCTCAAATCAATGATTAAAAATAGGTTAGATCGAATGGGGCCTGTAGGTTGTAGAGAGGGACCTTTTTCTTCGAACTTCAGGGATTGGCGCTATATAATCCCAAACAAAAAATTGTACTAAATTACAGAAACGGCATCACTACAGAACTTTCAACGACAATTAAAATGGATATCATATGTAGTTCGAAAAGAAAATAATGACACAAGATTCTGATGTTCCACACTACTTCAAACAAAAGGTTAGTAAGGAAATCCCCATCAAGCCCAGAAAGAACGATAACAGAGTGTGAACTTGATAGACATAGTTTCCTAAAAATATATTTTAGGCAAAATATTTTATAATTTTCAAAATTATAAACTGTTCAGCCATTGAGTGTTGAATGTTTCCTTATTAGGAAATGGCCTATTTTAACATTTACCCTTATTCAGACTGGTATTCTTTGCTGTTGAGCATGCTGGCGGGAATAATAAAGCGTTTAATAATGCCTTATCTAAAAACTTCCGAGGATTATGGCTATATCACGTTGAAACACCGGTTCTCGTACGATCAGCGAAGTTAAGTAACGTCGAACCTGGTCAGTACCTAGATGGGTGACCGCTAGCCATTCCCCTATATTAGGCAACCCCGCTGAAATATCAGTATACTTTAGTCTCTGTTTAGACATCCAAATATTTATTTGCATATACACGCCAAAACTATTCCATTGTGGGTTCTCCACTTCTAACCGGGGAGCCGTTATGTAGTCAAAGATATCGTAAATCCTATTTAATGTCAGAGACGGGTTAGACATGTTCAGTGCTTAAGAATACAAACCACGTCTTTAATATCGATCCATTCTCCTGTTTTTCTGACAAGCGACCTCAGGACGATTTGTTCGTTCGATTGAAACGACGCAAACAGCGAGGATCCGTGATGCCCTCGGCTTCAGCGGTTTCCAATTCTTCATTTCATGGTAAGTTTGCTTCAGACGACAAGGTCAACAAAATGGAGATCACTCAACAAGTATCTGTGAATAGAAATGAAGGTCTTCTAGGGAACAACGCAGACAAGAATCCAAATTTCATTTTACAGAGGAAGATCTTGAATGAAAATACTATTAGTAACAGTATTATTAGTACATTCTCTGTAGGTAGTTTGGGTGAGCAAATACTAGCGCTGACACGCTTATCTCCTTTAATTTCCACTCTTACACGCCATGGTGCATATTTAATAAGGCACAATTATTATTTTTCAAATCTTTACCGTCATTTTTTATCCGAATCGGCACGTTTATTAAGCTTACATAAAAAAAAATTCATAGTGGAATGTTCATTTGAACCAGCACGCTTATTTTATAAATTTGAAACTTCCCAGTTAGAGTGAGGCTATTTCAGACGATACTTGGATTTTTTATTTGATGGGATTGAAAACACAAGCAGCAGATCACGAGTTGCCGCCAAAGCTGACCACGTGATTTTGCCCAAATTCCAGTTGGAGATTTTTTTTTTTTTACAATGACTTCACCCTGTACAAGTCCTGATAGCCACTCAAGGTAGACGGTAACAGAATAAGACACACAGTTTACGCGGATATTTAAGGGAGATAACTGTTAATCTTAGATATGAACAGCTTAACATTGTAATGATCGGGGAGGCTTTACTTTGGGAGTCGGTTGCACAAAGCAGTGGTTCGTGGGAAGAAACTGTTCGAGTGGAACATACATCTCACCAATGGAATACGAATGGAATGAGGGTGGGTCGCTGCAATGGACGTGGCATGGCGGGCCTTGACCGTGTAGGTTAGAACTGATGGAACAAAAAAATAAAAATAAAAACTAATTAAATCTAATTTAAGTTTTAAAATTTCAATTCAAATTTAAAAATAAATAGCCGGCTACAACTCAGACGTGATTGAACAATACCGGTACACTTAAACCCTCAGTCACGATGACTTGTGACTTCGTGCTAACACAACCATCGCCGTTTTCCAAACGGTTTCGTCTAACAAATTTCATCCACAAAGCTTGGTCAAAGCCGTTATATAGTTTTAAGGGACTTTCCAAATGTGCCACACGCCATGATTGCCTTCCTAGTTCGATAACATCAGATGTAACCTTGATGAACAAATTGATCATAGTGAGATTTGAACCCGGGTCTCATGGTTAGTAAGCAAATGTTCTAACCACTCAGCGACAATTTTAAAAATGATTCAGTTAATTTAGAAAAGAAAGGTCATATGTTTAACGTAAATCAGGTTTTACCTTTTTTTGGATAATCTCAGTTTCAGTTAATTCTCTTTAGTAAACCAACTCTCCAAGTTTTTGTTCCCTCTGCTGTGGCCAGGAAATTGAACTCATAACTCTTTGGGTCAAAACACTTTTTGGATTACTTCACGCAACGCTGGGCCATGTGTCCTTGGGGACATGACACGTGGAATTAGAACAATCTATCCCTGTGGACTAAATAAAGGGTTCGGTTTGAGATTTCAGCATATATCACCTGAAGAAGGCCGGCGCGTACAACGGCCGAAACGTCTTGAATGTTGCAATAAAGATTAGGACAACAGTCTAACGATGTAAATAGTGAGAATCAGAGAATCATGTTAAAAGAGAGATTTTCTAAATTGTCTTCTACATTTACAATATTCCTGTCATACAGTTTCTTATGAGTTCCTCCCCTTTTTCATATAAGTGGACTCGACCAGAGTGTTACTTGGCCTGCTGCCGTTAAACACCCAGAGTCAGTCAGAATATAGAGAGATTGTGAGCAGAGATTGTGATTGAGTTGGAGGTAGAGTAATAGTGTGAGGTAACCGCTTGTAGAAGTCACAGTTACAAGCACGTAGACTCTAAGGAAGTCCTTACTTCGAGACTGTATCTATATCTATATATTATTGCTAATAACCGCGTTCCTGGATTTACTAACAGTATTACCCATTGTATTATTGTGTAAATACATTTTATTTCTTATATTTAATTCCTGCATTTGTCATTCATTGGAGACCGAATTTCATCTCGGAATCCACAACACAGTTCTTGTAGTCATTTGAAACATTCTTGCTTGAACCTGTGTGTCCTTTCAAAAAACAAACTTTCTTGGAATCAATTTCGGCACTATCAATCGTAACGAAAATATCAACCTCACTTATTTTGGGGTCTGGAAACACTCAAAATATTTTCTTATATAAATTAATTGCAATAGGTTCTTTGATTTACGCTATTTCGGATGGCGGGGTAAAAAGCCCTATTCTTTCGGTTCTTGTGTGTGTGTGTGTGTGTGTGTGTGTGTGTGTGTGTGTGTGTGTGTGTGTGTGTGTGTGTGATTAAATAAATAAAAGGTTTTCGATTTCGCAGCCAAGCCTGCCTTTCGCAAATTAATACGTCCTTAATCTCGAAAGTTTTACAAGAAATAATGAATTGACATTGCATATTTAATTAATAAGATCTTGATTAGTCTGCCATCTGTCGAGGTTATTTAATGAGTTTCACTATAAATAATATTTACAAAAAATAACTTATGACCGAATCCGAACATTTCTATTTACACATTAGTGTTGCTTTTTCAGCATATTTCAGCAGATCAAAATATTTCACAAGTAAGTCTAGATAGGAACAAACTATGAAACTCTCATTATATATATATATATATATATATATATATTCCTAAATTCGCTTGAAGATGAAACGGGACTAAACACTTCAATTCAACTTAATTTTAATAATTATTTGGATGGTTTCGGCTCACGTTTTTGAAACATGAGAACTCTTATGTAGCGGAGGAATCATATTTTTAAACAAAAAATATTATTATATATATATATATATAATATTAAAAAGAAGAGAGAAACCGCAAACGTTTTTAGTTATAATGTGGGTTAAAAAAAAAAAATTATGCTTTATTTTCCATAATTTTGCTACACGCGTTTCCGATCTCGTGACCGTCATCAGGCAAAGGGTGGAGATTTCCACATATTATTAAAAATAATTAATTTTTTTCTTTATGTTTTTCGATGTTAAATATTCTCGATATAAGACATTCTCTTTTTTTGTGTTAGTGGTCCAAACGTCTTTCTTGAACTGGCTGTGAAAAGTTCTGCGTGAAGGTTATAAAACAATAAGGATTGGTTCGAGAAATGATGGAGTAGTTATTGGCATGCTTATCTTTTAATGACCCCTGTGTGTTCTTAGATCTATTTCCACTTTCATGTGCTTTTGTCACATGCGTGTATATATGTGTATATCCCCTCTCCATACATACTCACTACGAGGAATCAGTGAACACATCTGTACACACACACATACACAAACATACAAACACACAAACAAACACACATATCGTCCCATTACAAGGAATCGGTACATACACACGCACACACACAGACATACACACATACGTACATACACATACTTCCCAAGTTACATGGAATCAGTATACATACACAGACACATATATACACACATATATATGTACACACACACACATACTTCCTAAGTTGTGTGGGGTTTGTGTGCGTGCCTGTGAGTAGTTCTTCTGCTTTTGTCAATATGTGTATATATATACACATTCGTGAACGAAAGAATGCCGCGAACGGAAAAGAAAACCATGGAAGAACTCCTTGAGTTATTTAATATCTACTACCACACACAAACAGACCCGCAAGGTAAGCACCTTCACACATTCTACCACACGCAAACAGACCCGCAAGGTAAGCACCCTATCACATTCTACCATACGCAAACACATCCACAAACACACTCACATAACAAATACAATTATGAACATACACTGAACAGCGCAAAAACAAACCTGCACAGACCAACACACCATAACACAAACAGACAAAGATCAGAATACACACACATTCAAAAAAACCAACACTTACAAATACCACCAAGCTCACCAAACCAAACCTAACAACCATTACCCATATCCAGGAGTACAATCAGAATTCCCCGAAAAGTTCTACACACAATCCACATACAATCCATACAAAAACAACAAATCTAGAAACATCTGAAACATGCCCCCTAACAAAAACAAACACACGTAATAAGAGCCATCGAGAAAAAACAACCCCAATTTCATCAAGAAAAAAAAACTCTCACTGGCAAGAAAACCCAAAATGTACAGAGAGATGTTATCTCTTAGAAAACCCGAAATATGTTAAAAGAAACAATCATTATTTTCTAGAAGCCCCAGTCCGAACAAGAAAACCAGTTTAGATGACACAAAACCCAAAATAATAAACCTATCTATATATACACTTACAAATGGCGAAATCAACCTACTGAAATTGGGCCTAAAATTCTGCCCTGCTCCGAAAAGCAATATAGCAGACCTAAAAAAAAAAGACCTTAAGGAATTTGAACGCAAATTGAGACTAAAAGAAATATTTAATAATAACGAAAATATTACAGATGAGTCACTGGTAAAAAAAAAACAAATCCAATTTATTCCCAAACAAAAATAATAATTCCAATGAGCTAAATATATTTTTTGAGAAACTCTGGAACCTCGACCTACAGGAAAAATCCAAACCATTCGACAACCTCACATATAGACAAAGACTAGCCTTAGAGAACATTCGAAAAAAATAATAAATATAATTATAAAAGAAGCAG